AATTGAGATTTTTATTCTATATATATTATTTATTTATGTTATGACTTTTGTCATGTCTATATTTCATCTTAAACTGTGTTTTTTAATTATTATTGATAATATTATAAATTTTACTTTTTATTATTGATTAGTAACTTGACAATTACTTTTTAAATTTTTATTTTTCTTAATTAATTTTAAATTTTAACACATTCTTCATCTGATCAATATTAGTTGAGTTATAATTTTGCTTACGTGTCATGCTGATATAAAAATGTATTGCGGTAAATATTTTTGATTTTAAAATTTATAATGCCTATAATTTGACAAATGTAATTAGATTCTAAATTACGACTCGCACAAATATTTAATAATTTTTTTATCATTATATTTTAGTATATTTTATTAAATAGTAAATTTATTATATTTATCTCATACTAAAGTTGACTAATACACGTTATTATATTAAACAATCACACTTATAAATGGGACATTTTCTTTTGTCTTTAACTATTTAGATAATTTATAATTGAAAGAATGTATTTTGTAATATAAAAATTTAGAAATATTACATATTTCAGTAGAATGGTTTTGTTTTATTTTTCTTAATTAATTCATAATCCTTGTTTATAATATATTTTTTATTTTTTTTTTAATTGTTTTGTTAATATTAGAAATATTACATATTTTAGTAAAACAATTTTTTTCCTTTTTTTTTAATTAGTCCATAATTATTGTTTATAATTTATTTCTTATTTTCTTTTTGATTTTTATTGTTAATATTAAGACATGTCATAATTTAAATTAACAATTACACATGTCACAATCTAGTGTTTAAGAATTTTGCCTTCATCGCGCACATTTTATATAATAAGATTCTAACACTTATTAATGTAAAGTTTAGATGTTTATTAAAAGATCTTAAATAAATATATTTAACAAGCTAATCTCATACTGAGTATTTTCTTGAGGTCATTGATAAAAAAAAAAGTAAACATCTATTTTCTCGCATTGTGTCCGATCCAAAAGCAAACAAAGGAATTTAGGGTTTTTCTCTCCCCCGAGCTTTTCCGTTGTGTGAACGACTACCG